ACCATTTGAACTCTGATATTTTTATAAACAATTCATTTAGTGGCATATATAGTTAAATGTTTTCTATGTAAAAGTATCAAAGTAGCTATTAGGGTTTATTTTGCTTATACTTAAGAGAAATAACTGATTTTTTTGCTAATTTTTCCAGGGTCAGTTTATTTGGTTTAAATTTAAGTATGCAATCGGTGTATTATAACTGTACAGCAAAATTGTTATTACTGTGTACTGGTATTTGAATTGAGGAAAGAAAGATTAAAAAGAACTGAGAATGAGATAATGAAAAGTGGAATGGACCCAGTTGTCTGGGCCTTATACCTATAATCTTAGCTACTGAGAAGGCTAGATTTTGAGGATCTCTGTTCTAAGCCAGCCTGAGCAGAAAAGTCCATGAACTTTATCTCCAAAATAACCAGAATAAAACAAGTCTTCAGATGTAGCTCAAGTGATAGAGCACCAGCCAAGCAACCTAGGCCAGAGAGCCCAAGATCCTGAGTTAAAACCCAAAACTAAAAAAAAAAAAGACAAAGGAGAATAACTTCAGAAAATTTACAGAATTGTGGGGAGAAGCAGAGGAAAATATGGTAGTAGTAAAAAAACAATTAGAAAAAACTTTTTGTATAATCAAATTAACATTGAAATGTTATTGATATGAAAATATCAATTCTTGGTATTTCCATATTATATAAGTATTCACTTACCTTTTGCTACTAATTGATTTCCCATTTCTATAATTTATTGTTTTTAGAATGTTAAATAAATGTAATATCACAGTATATAACCTTTAGGATTGGCTTTTAAAAAAGGAAAGCAGTATGATTCTATTGAGATTGATCCAGGTTGTTTTTTATATCAGTGGTTTGCTTCTTTATAATACTGCTATTTATTTAATGCTATTTTCATAGTAGTTAACACGGAGAACATGAGCTTCAGAGTTTTCCTTTGAAATTAATAGAGTATACTTTTTCTCACATTCTTTGCTAACCTTTCTGACTTTTCTACTGTCTTCGATCTCTAACTCCTTTGAGACACATGATTACACATAGTAGTGGAGGACCAGCAAAGTGTTTGCCTGTCATAGAGAGGTCCTGGGCTTTGATCCTAGAACTAATAGAGAAATTAGTGACCCTTTAAATGATGTGACGTATTATGCTTTGTAACACTCACTTAATACTTCTGTACACAAATGTAACATTTTAAGAAATTTTAGGTGATTATTCATATGATTGAAAATTCTGTATTTTCATATTGAGCAGCACATTCTGAGATCTAAAGTTGGTCATATAGTGAACAAAATTGCAATTAGTTACATTCTTAGAGTGTGACCAGAGCTTATTTTTTAAAGTTTTGTGTGTGGGAAATAGGAATTTTATGTTTATACCTGGAAACACATAAAAGATCACATTTTTTTATTAGATTTTATACTGTAGTTCAGTGGTTGCCAACATTTGGAAGATGAAACATATCATTTAAAAATAATAGGATGTTGCATTAAAAAGCCAGATAGAATAAAACTTGCTCTAACTTGAAGAATTTGGGAATAGAGGGGCATACCAGAAGTTAGGCTAGTTACAAAGTTGGCATTGATCATAGCTCCCTAGTATCTCTCCATTATATATTAGCAAAAAAATAGTTCACTATGTCATATTTATACCTGCTCTATCTTTTTAGTCAAATTTTAGGTTCACAGAAAAATTGAGCAGAAAGTTCTCAAATGTTCTGTCAACATAGGCACAGCCTCTTCTATCATCAACATCTTTTATCAGTGTAGTTGGTACATTTGTCAGTTAACATTGACACATTAGTATTGTCAACTAAAGTCCATAGTTTACATTATGGTTCACTCTTTGTATTCATGTTGTATTGTGAAAAAATGTGTTGTTCATACTTGTTACTTTGATTTACTAGAGCTAAAGATATAGTAAACTGCTATTATGAAGTTCACCAAAATAATGACTGATTTGGGAAAGTTCTCTGACTATAGGAAGTGGTGATTTATAATAGGTAATATAAGGGTTGCCATTGGTTCTTTCTTTAAAATATCTAATCTTATCAGACAGGATTTCAGGCTCTATCTCATAAAGAGATTAAGGAACCATTAATAATAAGTGGCTGAGTGTGTTTAAGCATTGCTACTTGATACTGAATTTATAGTAACAGTTGATTGGAATTTAATTAGATATGAAACACTGTAGCACTAAACTTCTTACATAACAAAAAAATCTTTTGTTGCTGCTCTTTTTACAATACGGAGGGATTTGAACTGGGCCCTACAACTACTTAAGCTATATACCTTGAGTCAGCTTTTAGATGATTATTTCAGAGATAGATACTTGAGGACTTTTTTTTTTTTTTGGCCTCAAATGGCTTTGAATCTCAATCCTCTGGATCTCAGCCTCCTGAGTAGCTGGAATTGTAAGGGTGAGACACCAATGCTGGACCAACACTATGTGTGTACATGTGTATACCTTCGCATATGCACTCCTAACTACTCCTTTTTTGCTTATGGTTGGTGCTCTATCACTTGAGCCTTCAGTTCCAGACTTTTTAAAATAGAATTTTATTTGCCAAAGAAGTATTATAGTGAAGTTGAATTAATGAAATTCTTTGTCTCTGGCACCAGATGGTACTAAAGAGATTCATATGGAAATTTAACCAGTTGATCTTTGCTATTTTTTTTCCCAGTCCTGGGGCTTGAACTCAGGGCTTGGACACTGTTCCTGAGCCTCTTTGTGCTCAAGCCTAGCACTCTACCACTCGAGCTATAGCACCACTTCCAGTTTTTCTGAGTAGTTTATTAGAGGTAAGAGTCTCATGGACTTTCTTGCCCAGGCTGACCGAACCACAATCCTCAGCTCTCAGCCTCCTGAGTAGCTAGGATTATAGGCATGAGCCACCAGCATCCAGCTTGTTTTGTTATTCTTTGACAAATAATTTCTCTGTAAGGAATTGATTAGTTACCTTTAACTCTAGTGAAGCATGTGCATAGTTTTGAAAATATAACAACTTATAACAATTTCATCTTTACCCATCAATTATATACTTTGGCTTTTCCTGAAGTATTTTACACACAGGTTTTAGACTATGAGCTCATGTTTCTTTACTTTTGGGGATATTATGCATCCTTATAGGATGGATATAATATTAAATAACTGGGTTAAATTGGCAGATGAGCAAGGTGGGGTTTATTATAGTTCTTTCCTTTAATGTGCCAGTAAACATAGTTTGTGTGTCCTAGAGTGAGACATTTTTGTACTTACATAAATTCTCTTTTAGAGAGGCAGCTTTCAGTTCTTACCCCTTTTTCTTTTCCTTTTTTTTTTTTTTTTATCGGTTGTAGGGCTTGAACTCTAGGCCTGAGTGCTGTCCCTCAGCTCTTCAGCTCAAGGTGAGCGCTCTACCACTTGAGCTACAGTGCCACTTCCGGTTTTCTGGTGGTTTATTGGAGATAGGAGTCTCATGGTCTTTCCTGCCCGGGCTGGCTTTGAACCGAGATCCTCAGATCTCAGCCTCCTGAGTAGCTAGGATTACAGGCGTGAGCCACCAGCGCCCGGCCCCCCTTTTCTTTTTTAATATAAATTCTATTTTTTAACCAGTCATCTGACAAATTTGAATTTCAGGCAAGCTAATGTGTAAGCTCTGAAATGATAACACTGGGATTTACATACTGATCTGACTATTTGCTAGTTTTGAACTTTAGATAAGTTTAACCTCTACCACATCTATAAAATACGTATAATATATATACCCATATCATAGGCTTGCAATGACTAAACATTGTAAGTACTCAGTATTTGCTATTAATACAACTGCTAGTTGGAAGCTTTAAGTATCAATCAGATAACATTGTGGGGAGCACTGTCTAATACTAATATTAACCTAGCTGAAAAAATACTCATTCTCTAGTATGTTTGATAACTTTTTAGAATCTGATATGGTATTATTGTAGTTAGCAAAAATAATTTGTAAGATTTAAACTGGGCATGGTGGTACTTGTCAGTAATCCAAGTTGAAGGGATATATACTTGGAGTTGGAGACCATTCTGGGCAAAGTTATTCCCTAGTTTAAAAACAAAAGGGCTAGGGGCATGGCTCAAATGGAAGTGCTAGCCTAGCATGCTGGAGGCCCAGAGTTCAATCTCCACTATTGAAAATAAATAACTATGAGATCATCACCCTAACCAATCTCCATTTGTAGTTGAAACTGAAAGTGGTCAAATGACTTGCCTAATGGTCCCTAGTCAGAGTATTCACTTGAACTAGATCTTGATTTACCAGTATTTTTATTTAGTCAACTTGCTATAATAAAATAATCCTTACAAATTTAATTTCAAATTTAAAAAGAAATTTCAGGTATGTGTTCCTTTTCAATTTTCTATTTTATTTCAGATTCATTAGTAATTTGGCTAGATTGATATGCCTAGTCTCTTAATGACACATATCCAAAATATAAACATTAAAATTTTAATATTTATTGAGCACTGTGAAAGGTGCTTACAAGGAACAGATGAGTAATCGTTAGCTCAATGAATCTGTTAGGTGGGACATTTTAATTTATGACTTCGGAAAACATTTTTCTTACATTTTCATTCTGTATTTTGTGGTCATGTTCATCTTTTCAACAATTTCCCCCCCTGTGTGCTTTCTAATGTGGTCATAAAAGCAGCCTCAGCCTCTGCCTTCCAGTTTGTCTAAATAGACTATTTTCTACTTTAATTGCTTTTTTGGTGGTGTTGACTTTTGTCTTGTTTTTCATTGTGGTATTGTTGCCTTTGCTTTACTAAATCTGACTTTAATGTTCTATTCCAGTTTCTTTTCAGTTTGATATATGGTATTTAACTTTAACTTTGATTGTGTTTGCATTCATTTGTATAAAAATAACCTTTTTAAGAATTTGTTGTCTCTGAGTTCCTTTGGTTTTAGGTACCATGTTAGTCAGAAGTACCTACAATTTTATGCCATTTAAAAATAGCTCAACACTCCTATGTTCACTTGGTTTCTAGGTCTATTCTGGATAGCAGGTTTTGTGAAGACATTTATTCTTTCTTGGACCTCAGATTTCCCAGACATCTCATGGTATTTCCTTTTATTTTATTTCTTTAATGGCTGCCACTTATTCTCAATATTTGTGTTTATCTTACTTGCCAGTTGGATGACCATTTTTCTGCCTTGCATATGTGAAAGTTTGTGGTAGTTGTTTGGATTGTGTTGAATAATTTTCCCTTAATTTATGATGTAAGATCACTTTTCTTCCACGTACAGTATTGCCTTACTCATTTTTAGAGATAATCATATTCCTCTAAAGAGCTTATGATTTCATTAAGTATAAATCAGATTTTTAAACAGTATGACTTTCCTCAGTGTAGAGGGTTTGTTTTGGGGGAAGATTGTTTGCAGTAATGAAACTTGAACTCAGGGTCTTGCTTTACTTGCTTGCCTAACACTCTACCACTTGAGTCTTCCTCCAGCCCTACTTTTTTTTGCTGGTTATTTTGGAGATAGTCTAGTGGACTTTTCTGCCCCAGACTTTTTTGGTTGGTCATGGGGCTTGAACTCTGGGCCTGGGCTCTGTCCCTGAGCTCTTCAGCTTATTAAGGCAGTACTCTACCACTTGAGCCACAGTGCCACTTCTGGTTTTCTGGAAGTTTATTGGAGATAAGAGTCTCACAGACTTTCCTGCCCAGGCTGGCTTTAAACTGTGGTCCTCTGATCTCAGCCTCCTGAGTAGCTAGGATTATAGGTATGACCCACCAGTGCCCAGCTTCTGTCCCAGATTTTTTGAGCCACTAGTGCCCAGCTACAATTACTTATACTAATGTTAACAGTGAAATATTTACCACTTTATGGTCCCAATAAATATGACCTTATCATATTAAACATTATGTGAATAAATTACTGAGATCTACTATGCTGTAGATCTGTTTCAGATGTTTCAGAAATTGATGTATCTTTATCCTGTAAACAGTTTTTGTTTTTAGAGAGATTTAGAAGTATCATACAGGTTTTTTTTTTAAGTACTTGATATATATAGTTAGGCACAGTGAAAAAGGGAAAAGCACAGAAGGAAAGAGGGAAAGAGGGAAGGAAGGAGAGAAGGGAGGAAGGAAGGAAAAAAGGAGAGAGAGAGAGAGACAGAAAGCCAAGTAGATGCTATGAACAGGGAGGATTTTTTTTTTTAATTTTATTTTTTGCTGGTATAATTGTTTGAACTCAGACCACTAGTTTGACTTGTGCTTTGCCACTTGATCTATACCTCTAGCTTTTTTTCTGTCTGTTTTGGAGACAAGAGTATTAAGGACTTTTCTGCCTAGGTTGTCTTTAAAACCAGGTCCTCTGGATCTCAGCCTTTTGAGTAGTTAAGATTATAGGCATGAGTCATCAGGACCCAGCTGATACATACATTTACATGTACACATATACATATGTGTATGTATATATATTTAGATGTATATACATATATATGTGTATATGTAAATTTAAAAAAAATCACACAGACATATAACTGCATTTGTTATCTGTTATTATTAGGTCCAGGTCTTGAAGTATTTTAAAGAAGTACAGAATAAATGAACCTATAAGTACACAAACTTAGTTTTACACATTGTTTGTATTCTGTCCTACAGAATTTTGTAATTTTAGTTTTGTGTTGGTTAATAAATCTGGCATTCACAGAGTACTCTGAAATGGGCAGGGTAGCATTTCTGCTTTCATTATCTTGCAGGAGCACTTTAATTTGTAAGACTGGTATAAAGCATGGCATATAGAAAACCATGCTTATGAAATAACTGAAAAGATTTTTAAAGTTGAAAACATCTTTTCTATCCACCTCTTGTTTTGTGATGAAATAGGAATGATTTAATCCCTAACTACATACCTGGTGTCTCTTATCTGGACTGGAGATGCGCTAAATTTGTTTTTGTAGATTGTGAAATATTTGCATAAACTTTACAAGTTAAACATTCCCAATCTAAAAAAAAATATCTGAAAACTGAATATTTTGCTGCATTTTGGTTTTCAGGGTTTTTTTTTTTATGAGTTACGTACAATCTGTTTTAGGTGTTGATTACTAAATAAATGCATTCTTGTAAATGCTTGACATTTGTTATTCTTTACTTTCTTTGTAGAAATCCTCTGAGGATACATTCCCATTTTATAAACATGAAACCCGATAACTTTCTAACCTTACATTTAGTCATTGGCAGATGTAAAGGTTGATGTTTTAATTTTTCTTTTCTTTTGTCGGCTATAGGGCTTGAACTCAGGAGGGCCTGGGCACTATCCACTATCCTTGAACTTTTTGCTCAAGGCTAGCATTCTATCACTTTGAGCCACAGCTCCACTTCTGGTTTTCTGGTAGTTAATTGATAAGAGTGTAATAGACTTTCCTTACCAGTCTGGCTCTGCACTTCAGATATCAGCCTTATAAGGAGCTAGGGATTGTAGGTGTGAGCCACCAGTGCCCAGTTTAATGTTTAAAATTTTTAGTTATAATTGCCTTATTATAATTTCAGTTGGTTTGTTCTCGTTTCTTTTCTCTCTTGCTCGTTCTTGCTCCCTTGCTATTTTGCTCTTCTGCTCTTTCTTTTGCTCTTTGTTATCTATCTAGTCATCTAGCCATCTCTCTGTCTATCTCTATCTTTCTATCTATCTATCTATCTATCTATCTATCTATCTATCTATCTATCTATCTATCTATCTATCTATCTATCTATCTATCTGCCAGTCTTGAAGCTTAACTCAGAGCCTGGACACTTGTCTGCATTTTTTGGCTCAAGGCCAGCACTCTGCCACAACTCCATTTCTGGCTTCTTTGGTAGTTAATTGGAGATAAAAGTCTCCTGGAGTCTTTCCTGAAAGGGCCTGTTTTGAACCACAGTCCTCATATCTCAGCCTCTTGAGAAATTAGGATTTATAGGTGTGAGCCACTGGTGCCTGGCTGAAGCCACTTTGACACTTTATTTCCCCCTCTTGTGAGATATGAACTCACAGACTGTGAACTATAAAATGAGAATTAACTTGAATGGATATTCTCAAACTTAATTGTCAAAACTAAAGGTAGAAAATAAGAACTACTGTTTGAAAAAAAACTGCTATTCTTTTTTTTAGTTACAACAATACAGGGACAGAGATAATATTGAATGTGTAGTTTTCTAGTTTATAAAAGTGTCTATGTATATTTTGTTCCTAAATTGTATTATCTCACTTTTGATACTTTATAAACAACACGAATAACCGTTTTTTTTTTCTTCGTTTAAGACTGGCACTTGAACTCAGTACCTAATGCTTTCACTCATTGGCTGGCACTCTACCAACTGAGCCATGCCTCCATTGCTACATAGCAAATTTTATGGAGTGGATTTAGGTAGGAAAATTGATGTTGAAGATTGAAGTTTGTTTAAAAAGCACCAAACTTGATATTTCTTTTTTTTTTTTAATGTTGGCTTTTAAAAAACATTTGTTTCATGGAGAATCACCTTCATAGACAGATATTTACATATCATGAAAAGTGACCTGCACTGTGAAACAATTGATTTCATTACAAATAAAAGTGTATATGTATATTTATATGTGTAAATAAAACAGGCTAGAATTGGTTCTGATCCTAGTGTCATTTTTTAAGCTAAACAACCTTGATTTAAGTTAGTGTTTTTTCATTTTATATTCTTTCATGGTAAAATAGATATCTATCTTGGAATTGTGAAGATTAAATGGACTGTTCATGTAAAAGGCTTATTGTGGTGCTTATTGTTAGATAACTCACTGAACTGAAAAGATCTATTTGTGAATACTAATAATACAAGATATATATAGTATTTTTAAATGAATATTTGTTGGTTATGTAGCAAAACAATATGCCTTCATAATCCTCATGGCATCCTGATTCATTCCCTAAGGAAGGTTATGATTCATAAACTTTTTTTCTTTTTTCCTTTCTTGTTCTATGATTTGACCCAGGGTTTCATGTATATTATACTAAGAACTTGCTCTGCCACTGAACCATACACTCATAAACTTCTTTCGATCGTAATCATGCAACTTAATTCCAGAAAAATAGATAGAAGTTCCTTTATATTGTGATCTTAATGAAGAATGCTTTCTTCTCTAATTTTACTTCCTGCTATATGATTGTTGACTCTTGCTAGTTAAGATGGTTCTTAACTGTCTTCCCCTCATCCCCCTTCCTTTTTTTAAAACAGGGTTTGTGGATGCACTTAGATGTTTGCAATGAGCACTGTGGCTGGCATGCTCCAGTGTTTTGGATACCAATGCATAGGACTCCATAGTAATCGAATTTACCAGAGGCGAACGTCATGAGCATAGTGATCCCATTGGGGGTTGATACAGCAGAAACGTCATACTTGGAAATGGCTGCAGGCTCAGAGTAAGTATTTAAGTTAAAGATGTTTTACATAGAGAAAGGCAATTATCTCCTGTAGTTATTTTAACACAAATAAGCAGTGCATAATTTACATTCATGTTTTTTCTTATCTCTTGGCTAAAATACCACAAGTTAAGGACAAAGATTCCTCTAATGAATTTTCTTTTTGTCTTTTCTACTTCCTATTTGTTAGCATCAAGAATAACACAATTCTTTTGTTTTGTTTGGTGTTTCTTTGAGAGAGTGTTTCAAGGTGGTCTGAAACTTACCACTTAGTTCAAACTGGCCTTGAACTCAAACTAATCCTGGCTCAGCCTCCTAAATTCTGAAAATATAGGTTTGACACTGTGGCTAGCAGATCTTTGTGTTTAGTGTATAATCTGTCCTATTTATTTTGGGAAGCAATTTAAAATTTTAATCTTAGCTAATATTTATTTGTTTTTTAAATTATCTTTGAATAGTTCTACAAAGTAACTGTAATCGCCATTTCTGTGAACTCAATGAAAGATTTTTACCTGTTTGCCCATGTTTTGACTATGCACTTGTTTGGACCGACTTTATTAATCTTTTGTTTTTTGAATGACCATCCATTTTAAGTTATTGCTGTAAAGATTGTTTTTTGAAATTGTAAACTGAAGAATATTGAAGCTGAAGGATAAAAAGATACATGTTCTCTGCTTTAGTATATAGTTATGTCTTACATAATGGGACTTTTCTCATCTATATTTAAGCTAAACTTGATGGGATTTTAAAAGAAAGAAAAAACATGTTTATTTTAGAACTCTAGAAACTTACATGGAGAGCAAGAAAATGCTGTAATTAATCCTCCTTTTGCTGGCATTTGTAGTGGCCCAGAGTGTTTTCATAATTCCTGTTACTGCTGTTGGAAAAGACATTGACATACTCTTTATACTCTTCAGTATTCTTGTAGTGTACTAAACAGCCTGTATGTATTATGTATAATACATATATAGACATTTATGGCAAGGTCTTGCTGTGAAGCCTAGGCTGGTCTCAAACTCTATCCTCTTCCCTTAGCTTCTTAAGTGCTATGATTACAGGTGTTCATCACCACGAACAGCTTAAATAGTATATTTAACTGTATCTTTATTGACTATATTTTTTAAGCTGTTAAATAATGTGAAATACATCTTTGCCTTGCTTATATGTCTGTTTTGTAAATTATAAGATGACTCACAAAAAGCATTGCATTAATTAGATAGTTAAAAAGGAATGAACAGTTTACTAAAAGAAGACAGTAGGTACCAATCTGTTTTCTTTTGGTATTTTGAGGCAAAGTCTCATTCTGTGGCCCGTGTTCACCTGTCATTGACTTTGTTAACCCAAGCTAGATTCAAGATCCATTTCTCTCATTCTTCCAGATGACAAGAATACAGGTGTGAGCCACTGTGCCCAGCTAGTAGTATCTACCTATTTTCTTCATTAGATTCATTTTTGTAGAGTATTGATAGTATAAACTTTGGCTTATTTGGATTCTTACATGCAAGGCCATTTTATTATGGGAAAAGATTCAACTTGTACATAATTGAAGAATGACTATCTTTTAATAAATACTAATGTTTCAGGAAGCGATTTTTTCTTTTTCATAAAAGGTATATGTCCGTCAGGCATAGTTTTCCCCACTCAGAACATGAAATATAGATGACGGCAGTTTTTGTTTTTAGGGAACCATTAGAATTTTGGTGGTATAATTCTCAAACTTTTAAGTTCTTTTCTATCTAAAACCAGAAATTTAAGAAGATGCTTAAGTCACATTTCCCCCCTTTGCTACAAAAACATAAGCTTTTGGCTTTATTTTCCTAATACTTTTTTTAAAAATAGAATGCTGTTTTCATTTCTAATACATAATGGGAAAAAGATGTATCTGGGTATGGGGATACATGCCTGTAGTCCTGAATCAGTGCTCAGGAGCTGAGATTGGAACATTGCTTGAACCAGGAGTTCAAATCCACCTGGGCTATGTCGGAACCTATCTCAGAACAACAAACACAAAAAACAGAAAGCAAGAGACGGGAACGGTGCATGGGACTTTCCTGTATATGTTTTTGATTAGTTCTTATGAATCTATAATTATTTCACAACTTTTTAAAAAGAATTAAATTTCATTGTAGCCACGTGGTAGGTGTATAATTTTGTTAGTTATATGTTTACTTTTTTTTTGTTTTTTGGTCAGTTGTGGGGCTTGAACTCTGGGCTTGTCCCTGCGCTCTTCAGCTCAGGCAAACACTCTACTGCTTGAGCCACAGCACCACTTTGGTTTTCTAGTGGTTTATTGGAGATAAGAGTCTCATGGACTTTCCTGCCTGGGCTGGCTTTGAACTGTGATCCTCAGATCTCAGCCTCCTGAGTAGGTAGGATTACAGGTGTGAGCCACTGGCGCCTGGCTTTATGTTTACTTTTTAAAGAAGATTGTACTGCTAAAAATGTGAATAAAGTTTGAAAGATACTTAATAGAGTTGAATAGATATTTAATGAATTCATAAGACTATAAGGTGACTGATAGTTCATCTAGTTGAAAGTTTAGGATCGATAATAAAGGGTTTGTTAATGTCTGAGTTTCCATTCCCAGGAATATTTATTTTTGTATTATTTTATCTCTAAAATAAAAGTCATTATTTTACATCAAGTCTATTTTTCTTTGTGAATATTTGTTTTCCTCTAGTCACTAAGTTTTGAAAATTTTAACCTCATTTTGCCTTTCTTTCAGGATAGATATTTTGTATGTTCTCTCTTTTTTATTTTTTTGCCATTCCTGGGACTTGAACTTAGGGCCTAGGGTTGTCTCTGAGCCTCTTTGTGCTGAAGTCTAGACTCTACCACTTGAGCTACAATGCCACTTCCAGCCTTTTCTGAGTAGTTTATTGCAGATAAGAGTCTCAAAGACTTTTCTGCCTAGGCTGGTTTCAAACCGTGATCCTCAGATCTCAGCCTCCTGAGTAGTTAGAATTACAGATGTGAGCCACTGGTACCTGGAGAGTGTGTTACTTCTTATTTTCTATTATCTTGCCAAAAATTGTATTTTCTACAACATTTGTAAATTAGTGGGGATTGACAACATGTGTTTGTGTGTGTGTGTGTGTGTTTGTATTTGTTTTTGGGTTTTTTTTGTCAGTCATGGGTCCTGAACTCTGGTGCTGGTCCCTCATCTCTTCAGCTCAAGGCTAGCGCCCTACCACTTGAGCCATAGAATCACTTCCACCTTTTTTTCTGCTTATGTGGTGCTGAGGAATCGAACCCAGGGCCTCATGCATGCAAAGCAAGCACTCTACCACTGAGCCAACTTCCCAGTCCCCACAGCATGTGTTTTTTAACAAGAATAAAATTTTGTTTCACGAGCTTAAATCTTTTTTAACAAAAACACTATCTTTTACTATTCATAACATTAACAAATACCACTGCTTAAATTTTAGTAAATACCATGAAACAAACTATTTGTAGTTTAGTGTCTCTTAAGATACCATAAAAAAATATCCATTAGTCACTATTGAACCTTGGCAGTTAGCATCTTCCTACAGTGATTATCCCTAGGTTTCAAAATTATAATCACAGTGTGCAGGTTAACATAAAAACTGACTTGTTTTCTTGTCCATGGTATGATTTTTAATGCACTAAAATATAGCAAAGTGATATTTAAAGCAAAAATTTAGGTAGGTGTAAATATAGTAAACTGATAAGAATTTTGTGTGTGTGTGTGTGTGTGTGTGTTTGCTGTTGCTAGGGTTTGAACTCAAGGACTGGGTGATGTCTCTGAGCTTTTTATTTTTATTTTTAATTTTTAAGGTCCTGGGGCTTGAACTCAAGGCCTGGGTGCTGTCCCTGAGCTCTTTCATACAAGGCTAGTGCTGTACCACTTTGAGCCACAGCACCACTTCTGGTTTTCTGCTGGTTAGTTGGAGATAAGAATCTCACAAGGTTTTCTTCCTGGGCTGGCTTCAAACTGTGATCCTTAGATCTCAGCCTCGTGAGTAGCTAGGATTACAGATGTGAGCCTCCAACCCCCAACAACCCTCAGCTTTTTTGCTCAAGGCTATCTAGCACTTCCTGAATAGCTAGGATTACATGAGTTACCTGTACCTGGCAAGAAGTTTTTATATGTTTTTCTATGATTATCCACATTGTCCATAAATGTAAAGTAATATAAAAAGTAGGCTTCTTGTTTATAATTTTTTGTAGCCAACACTAACAGTTCAAAAGCATCATTACTATTTTTAATGTTTTTTATTGTGAAAATACCATACAAAGGGGTTAAAATACATGAGCAAGGTAATGAGTACATTTCTTATGAAGCATTGTTGCCTCCTCCTTTGTTTTTCTCCCCTATCATCTCTGCCCTCCCCCTCTCCCCCTGCCAAAGTTGTAAAGTTCATTTTTTGACATAGCATCTTGTACATCTCATTTGTGTCATTATTATAAGCATAGACTTGGAAAATGATTTCCTATAGGCTAGCATTAGGAAGAAGTATTCCTATTCTTAAGGAATCTGTAATAGTTGGAAGTCAGAATTGTAGACCAGAGTAGCTAAATAGCTGCATAATATACGTCATTTGTAAGCTTGAATTTTCCCTTTCTAAAACTGAAACATGATTACTAATAATGTATTTCTTTTAATACTTATTGCCACCAAATTTTTTATGCCTGGCAACACAGTGACTGCTAAATAGCTGTTGACGAAGAGTACTAAATAAAGTATTAAATAAAAATAAATAATTTCTTAGTTTTATTCTATCACTAATATACCAGTAAGCTCTTAAGCCACTTATTTATATTAGACATGATATCTTCATTTGCAAAAAGTAGTTTTAAATATACTTATATGCTTGCTTTCCTTACTGCAAATATCTGAGATTCTTTTTACCTTGTATACTTTGCTATAGTATGTGATATTCTTTCAATGTCACTAGAGCCATCTGCTGGCAGAATTTATTAATTTTTGGGTGTTTGGGTATTTTTAGTTAGAATTTGGACACTTGAAAGTATTAAAA